TAAACTTTTTTAGACGAGTCGCTGGCCCTACACGTCTCGACATGGTCTGGAATACTGACATCCGCGAAAATCTTGGTGAACAGCCGCTGCTACTTCATATTGAGAAGTGATAGCTGCGATGGTTCAGGCATGTGTTTCGAATGCCTGCAGAAATGAAGGCTAAGCAGCTGTTTTCTGCCATATCGACCGGCTGAAGAACCAGGGGACGACCAAAATTAACCTGATTTTATTATACGGAAGTAGTCTGCTGGATACTCCACTTGTCTTCAGCCAAATCTGAGACCCTAGCAGAGGGCCGGGAAGGTTCGAAGCACTGCCTGACGCGTCTGCCTCCACGATCGCAATGAAATGTGGTCATACGAGATGGAAAATGAAAGCGTTGTTTAATATTAAGTCCAATTTCTCTATAATTTCTTACTAGTTCTATACTGATTTCTACTTTTGCGTTGCAAGTTCCATTTCTATTAGAGCCTCAATCTCTTAAAAAGATTTTTGGACGAAATTCTGATTTGTTAAATAATTACTACGGACGATTTAGTTATAATTGAATCTATGACATTAGTTTCATAATGTTTTCGAGTGTGTTATGCGGAGAATGACAAAATGCTATGGAGAAATTTTACAACCTCATTTTTTTCGGTTGGGGTTATGATGTAACAGCGAGATGTCACAACTGTCATAACAGTTTCATCCACTTTTAGAGGTTGCCATTCGCAGCTAATCGGATTTATCAATCGCTGCCTTTTCTGGATATCGTGCTGATGGGCAAAATAGAGACGGTGTAAATAATAATTTAACTACATTTTTATTTAAGATCCACTTGTCAATTTATATCTTAAGCCCTTGAAATATACAAGACCAAAACCAAATTTTGATTTTTCTTGCTGATCCGTTTCGTCACTGATAACCAGAAGAATCGTCCTGGAACACGCAGTCAGATTATTGATTTTCTAACTTTATTAATTGACGAGTGATGAAAGGCGTCTCGATAAGAATATGGGCTAAAACCGTGAATCGGCAAGAGAAGTATCGGTTCGATTGCTAGATCAAAACTGATAACAATTTAAAAATGAAATATGATATTATGTTCTTGATTTTAAGCCTTATTCATTGAAATTGTTAATCGTTTGCCGGTTTGTGCCTAAGGTGAACAAGCAACAGATATTCTACCAGTCTTTGCCGACGCGTTTCGTTACAAATAGAGTATCATCGGTGGAGCATAATTCTGATATAACAGACAGCAAGGGGCTTACTTCCTGCCGTGTCCTGATGATGCCACTCTGTTTGTAGGAAAAGGTGCCGATAATAAAACTTCTAACGACTGTATTGTATAGTTACAATCTAGAGTTCAATTTTCTTAATTTGCCACGGATCTTTTGAAGGAACTTCATTCCTTTCGCCGTAAATTGCTTATTGCTGCATATTTGTTTCTATCAAATCAAATTTTTTATGAGCAGCGGTAGTCATTGCCAACACAAGTTAGTAAAATCACAAATTGAAAGCAGAAACTGCTGTTTTATTGCGCTTTATTATTGTTATTAATCTGTTTCCTAACTCTTTGGCTGGTTAAATTTTGTTCCGTGTACTCATCTCTGTTGAGAAACTAGACGTTGTTTATTGCCTTAATGTTGCTGTTAGATTTCTATTTTACTTAGTTTGGAATAGTTTCTTTTATGCCAGTACAATATTTTTGAATCTTTTCGTTCGACCAGCAAACGATAAACCTAGGATGACCAGCATGAAGCTCTCTCAAGAACAGTTAAATGATCTCGTATATCTAATCCGTTATAATTTCGATTTGCAGGATAGGTCGTCACTGTAAGTGGAATGCGTTAGACTATCTTTCTGGTGGTAAATGCGAATGCATTTATGTTACTGTTAGCTTTTTCTGTTTAGTATTTCCTTCGTGCGTTGGTGGTCATACTGAAAACAACATAATGTTTATGCACAACACAAAAAATATGGTCAATCGAATGACCGACGAGCACCGACGTTTCGGCCGTGTCTCTTGGACGTTGTTCAAGATAGTGTTTGTTGACTGACAGCGGAAACCCTAATGTTAATACATGTTGGGCCCAGAAAATCTTACTGGACGGGCTTTCTAATATCAGTCAGCTAATTTCCTTACCTTGAAGAAAGTATAATACATGTGCCGAACATGGGTGTGGATCATTCATTCATTCGATTGACTTATTGATTGCGTTATATACCAATAAACTGTGCCTTATGCTGATTGCGGTTCCTCCTTTGTAAATTTCACTTTAGTTCGAATTGACGTCCTTTAAATGGCGTAGACAGATTCAAAATAATGCTTCTGATTTAATTCCTTTAGTCCATTTCTGTGCTGTGACCGCCAGCAAGCGAATGAAAGGCGCGGAACAATTTTGGTTATCTCAACTCATGGTTTCCATCTGTGATATCTAATATATTGTGGGACCGATTTTAAACGTGTTTAACTTTTTGCTGAAGATCTTCGCTTTTAATTAAGACGTAAAGTCTCTATATTTGGCATAATATCATCGCTCGAATGTTGCAGATCACTTTAATTACCTTAATCCCCCCAATGAAAGGTTTCGTCAGCCAGTCCTTAGTCATTTTCCATTAACTTTTTAAGATATTTGATCATATTCTGTCAAAACTTTAAGATCACATGATGTTCGCTGTTGGATTAATAAAGTATAGATTGAAAAGGTAATGACGATATATTAAGGCTCACAGTACTTCGGCGCTGTCACAGATTCAGCTACCACCAATCAGTACAGATTCTTCTAAATATCTTGTAAGACTAAATACAGATTGAAACGTTTCTTGGAATGGTATCCCAGTTTGTTCTGTGGCTCGACTAACGTGCTATGTGTTATATCTGTTTTCCCTTCATTCCACCATGCTGATTGGGGGATTTATCATAATAGCCATTTTTACAGGTTGCGAGAAATCCGTACTTCCATTTCATGCCATCAAGGAACGTTGCCGCAGGTTTGTTGCAGAACGAAGATGTGCTTGGCGACAATAAAGAAGGTTACAAAAGAATATTGAACGGTGGGAAGTTCATAGGTGTGTGACCAATCGAGGTGAAATATCTTTGAAAGGAACTGATAATGCATTTCAGGTGCGTCTGTGCTCATATTTTGCGCTGCCACTGCGTTTACGGCTGGATTTTTGGCCGCTCTATCACGATCCAAGAAGCAGCTGAGAATTCATTTAAAGCATGTAAATTTATTTATTTATTTTGCTTTGCTTGATCTGGTTATAATTATGGCATATTGCTAGAGTACTACCCCTCACGATTACCTGTTTGCCTTGAAAGCTTTTGGTGTTGGCAGTTTAGCCGCTTTTTCGTCGGTCAGCGCCGTAGTGTTTGCAGCGCGCAGATTTTTTGACGTTTCTGATGTAAGTGACCGCCTACCGAAGGTACATCTGTTTTTTTCATCTGTGATTGTAGCTTGAAGATTTAAAGGTCTTGCCACGTAAGAACCGTAGATCATCGTACAGCTCAAGCAGTGGACGAAACGATTTCGCGAATCTTCAGGAGCTGGCCGAGTATTTGATCGAGGAAGACCAGAAAAAGACGTGATCGTAATCCCCGCCTAGCTCCCTATGGTATGTGGTTAGTTAGTTACTTGTACCTGATTTACGTGCAAAGCTGGTTGTTTCAGGTTGAAAGCTGGTTGTTATTGATACTTGCGTTTATTCCAGTTTATTTTTGCCTTGCTGTGGTATTTCTGTTGCTGTTCACTTCCCAAAAGCGCAGACCAGGTCATTCAACGCTGGATCAATGCCAC